ACTCAGAAAGCGAAATTTCCCCTCTGTATAAGCAGCACCCCAATTTTGATGCACTTATATAACTTATACCTACTTATATAAAAAACTTAACTGGTACTAGTCAAACCTGAAAAAAAATTGTAGCTCAAACTAATTTGGCAGAACACTAAAGCATTATTAAAAAGTGACTTTCACAGAGACTTTTGAAAGCTTGCAGCAGGAAACTTTGTATAGATATACAAAGAAAGTGATGGAACACGGGTTTTCTATAGAAAAGAAATTTACTGATGCAAAGCAGTCAGAGTATCTTGTATCCTTAAAAATACTCGGAAGCCAATTTTACTTTTCGATAGTTTAAAAAAAAAAAAAAGTCCTCCAGAATTTCATTTGTACTGCAACAACTGTCAATTGGTCATCCAAAGCGCTGATTGCACCTATTAGCAGATGCACTGTCTTGAAAGAGCTCCATCTGTTCTAGTAGACAACCACAGTGAAATACAGTTCCAGTCTTCTTGTTGCAGCTCTAGCCTCAGAACGTTACCTACAATTTCTCTCAATTAATCTAATTAATCCCTTATCAAGTACATGCAATCCAGATTTAACTCCACTGCCATAGCAGTAAAAGCAAAAGATTTTGAGAACAAGACGTGAAGAATTCCAAGGGAAGTGGTCTTGGATTTCAGTTGCACCTTGACGTCTGAGGCTCCCGTATGTGCCTTTTTCATGCTGAAAAGTTGTACAGTTTTCTCTAATGGGAAAACTGCATGTGGAAATGAAGTAAGTGTTGAAACACTAAAAAGCTAAATGAAGGTAATGTAATTTGGGTAAGGAAAATCTCTCTGGCTTCTGTTCTGGCAGAATCAATAAAGAAAAATCTGAAAACAAACTTATGAGCAAAAGTCAGTTTCTTGGGATGCAAGACAGTCTCATAACACAGAAATAATATTACATCTTTCAGGATTTCACTCAACTCACCAAAAGAACAGAAGATTCAATAGTAACCTAAGATATTGAAGAATCATGCTCAGTTCACTTCACTACTGAATAGCAATCCTGGATTTAAAAACAGTTCTCATTTAAAGGAGTGTTGAAAAGCACTCAAACACTTGGACACAATGATAGCAGTGGTGTTCAGTTGTGTATCTCAAATATATGGCTCTGAAGAGAAGATAAGGAATTTGAGACTGTATTTTGACTCTGCTTCCTTATGCTTCAGAATTAATTGCAATATGTAGTTTTAGAAATCATAAAATATTTGATTGGTTTTCACCAAAAGAGCCCTCAAGCTTTTCTTTTGTGGAATCCCATTCCTGGGTTCTTCCTATGTCTACAAAACAAGAGCAGTATGTATCTAGACATAGAATCATAGAATTGTTTAGGTTGGAAAAGACCTTTAAGATGATCAAGTCCAACCATTAACCTAGCACTGCCAAGTCCACCACTAAACCATGGCCCTAAGCACTACATCTACACATCTTCTAAATACCTCCAGGGATGAGGACTCGACCACTTCCCTGGGCAGCCTGGTCCAATGCCTGACTACCCTTTCGGTGAAGAAATCTTTCCTAGTATCCAATCTAAACCTCCCCTGGTGCAACTTGAGGCCGTTTCCTCTCGTCCTGTCGCTTGTTACTTGGCAGAAGAGACCAACCCCCACCTCCCTACAGCCTCCTTTCAGGTAGCTGTAGAGAGCAATAAGGTCTCCCCTTAGTGCGGGGCCCAAAACTGAACACAGTACTCGAGGTGCAGCCTCACCAGTGCCGAGTACAGGGGGACGATCACCTCCCTGGTCCTGCTGGCCACACTATTTCTGATACAATCCAGGATGCTATTGGCCCTCTTGGCCACCTGAGCACTCTGCTGGCTCATGTTCAGCCAGCTGTCGATCAACACCTGCAGGTCCTTTTCCACCAGGCAGCTCTGCAGCCACTCTTCCCCAAGCCTGTAGCACTGCATGGGGTTGTTGTGAACCAAGTGCAGGACCTGGCACTTGGCCTTGTTGAATCTCATGCAGTTGGCCTCAGCCCATCGATCCAGCCTGTCCAGATCCCTCTGTAGGGCCTTCTACCCTCCAGCAGATCAACATTCCCACCCAACTTGGTGTCATCTGCAAACTTACTGAGGGTGCACTCGATCCCCTCATCCAGATCATCAATGAAGATGTTGAACAGGACCGGCCCCAACACTGAGCCCTGAGGGACACCACTCATGACTGGCCTCCAACTGGGTTTGACTCCATTTACCACCACTCTCTGGGCTCAGCCATCCAGCCAGTTTTTTTACCCAGCAAAGAGTATACTTGTCCAAGCCATAAGCAGCCATTTTCTCCAGGAGAATGCTGTGGGAAACCTTGTCAAAGGTCTTACTGAAGTCCAGATAGACAACATTCACATGACAAAAATATGTTTGCTAGAGAGATTGGCCAAGCCTCTGCTGGTACTTGAGGGCTTTTAACATGGTCTGAACTGCACTGCACAGCACCACTGCGGACACAGAAGAGCTTTTACTGTCATGAAAACAAGTCAAATAAACTTCCATCAGTTCTGAAAGAAGAATAAGCCATTGTGCTCCTCAAAAACAGGTGGCAACCATCAGGACTGCATGTAATTCTAAAGCCTGATCTTCAAATAGGCTTCAGTTTTGCAATCTACATAATCCACAATATCCTTAATACTGAATTATTTGTAAGAAGCAAAAAAAAAAAACCAAAACCAAAACAAAACCAAACCACCACACAAACCCTATTACAGAATGGAGTATCCTTAATTCCTTACTGTCTGTAGCAGAAAATTCATCTAGGACAAAGTAACTAAGCAAACATGAAATTGAGGATTCAATACTTGGAAGGGACAGAAGTCACAGATGCTACAGAAGGTTAGTACTATTAGGTCAGGACAACTCAGCTGTTAGGAAGGCTTCGTAAAGACTCATATTTTACATGACAAGTTGTACAAAGATTCAGACCTTTTCCTCCTTAATCTTCCAGTGACGCAAGCCTCACTGTCAGAATTCATGGGTACGTTGGCATCTCTTGATAGTTGCTTACTGCATGCTAATTCTCTTTTCAGCTGAAGATACTAAAAACAAAAAAAAAGTGAAGGTGTTCAGATTACGTAGTCAAATATGACATCACATAACATGATAAAGACGTTAGTAAAGCAGGAAGCTCCTCTTCAGTTTTCAACCATGCCGTATCCCATTCTTCACTGAGGGCTGGAAAACTCACACAACTCCTGCAAGGGCAAGGGCTCCAAGAAAGCAGAAATGTTGGCTGTCAGCTGGAAAGCAAGAACTCCATGCTCAGTGGAGTGAGCTGCATGGTTCAAAATACACAAAATACTTTAGAGAAGTCAATCCAAGAACAGCAAGAACTGTCCTTTTATATATTTGCAACACATCTCAACTCTCATGGCCACCCAAATAATCCAGAGTGGGAACATACCCCCGCACACTCTACCATCCTACCAGGGCAGTATGTCAAAGCTTACTGTTCATTGTATGGACCACATATCTACGCTTATAGGCAGTATTTGGTCCCTTCTCTGATGCACCAGCTCTTCTTCTACCAGCAACTGTGAACACTGGCACTCCTCAGCAGATTTTTGAGGAACAAAACATTTATTTCCTGGGCTTGGTGGTCATATTGCTTACCACCATAATGCACCAAAGTTGCAAGCAAAGTTGCATTTAAGATCTGTGAACTATCTGTACACAATTCAACTCCAGCAACAGACACCATAAAGGAGGCAGAATCAACTTTCAAAAAACTAATTTTAATCAAAACAAAAAAATTGTTGATCATTAACAAGTTTATAAAACAGTGATTTAGTTACATAAATAAATTGATATCAGTGTATCAAATCTTAATTACTTTCAACTTCATGAGCATGTTTACATGGGCGATGAAGTACAACCTTTTTACCTATTATAATAAATAAAATGGAGAGCATGAAATAGTTTTTCTAAACAAAAATACCTACAAACATACCTCTAGCATGTTCTCTAATGGAGGGAACAAGAGACACCGGACAACTTTTGCACCAAAACATAAAAACTGCTTTAAAAAGCACAAGGATACAGAACTACCAGCTAAAGTAAAGACACTATACTGTAACCAAAGTTGGTATTTAATAATATAATGAACAGTTTGGTAGTTAGATCTCCAGTTTGGTTATTTTAAAGCATTAAGACAAGGCAAGATAGAAGGCTGCTTTTGTTTGAGTAATTCTAGAGAAAATAAAATATATTAAAAAAACAAACTGAAAAGTAGAACAGTCATACCTACACAACTTTCTGTCCTGCACAAAGTCAAAATACCTATGCAGTATATATAATATATGTATTTGTGCACAAAGGTTAGCTTATTATTAGCTCACTGCAAAGGCGCAATGTATCATGTCAGTCATTTTGTGTTTTGTGTCAAAAAGGATATTTCTTTAAGTTTCCTAGGCTAGGAGGCACAAACCCCGATTCTGGCATACTGTATTCTTAATACTAAGGCTTGCTGCTCTGGCTGTGTATTTTTTGTTGTCCTTCTTTACTATAGTGCCTG